ACCCCGCCAGGCCGCGGCCCAGCCCAGTTCACCTCGCCCGACCGACTTCGGCTGGAGTCCGGCCGGAGCACTCGCTGCCGCCGCCGAGTCCCGCTCAGACTCCACCCCCACCGCCTTGCCCCCTCCCTGTTAGACTTGTAGACTTGTACGTATTGTAAACTCTGTACAATTGTATCTGTACCCGCTGAGGTACCCCCCTTGTTATATATATGTTATTGTGGCCGACCCCTAGAGGTGTTGAAGCCCATAACCCTAAAACCCTTTGTCTGTACAATTGTATTTGACGATTACTCGTCCTGATATCTCTTATGCGGTGAACAGCGTGTGCCAGTTTCTTCATGCTCCTCGGGATACTCACTAGACTGCTGTGAAGCGCATTCTGCGCTATGTTTGGGTGACTGCTGCTCTGGGCCTGCATCTTCGGTCTGCCCCTTCTGGTAGCCTCTCGGCGTTTTCTGATGCAGATTGGGCTGGTAGCCCAGATGACAGGCGATCCACGGGGGAATATGCAGTGTTCTATGGTCCTAATCTGATCGCCTGGAGTGCTCGTAAACAAGCTACATTGTCTCTAGCAGTACTGAAGCTGAATACAAAGTAGTTGCCAATGCCACCGCTGAACTTATCTGGGTTCAGGCCTTGCTTCGAGAGTTGAGAGTCTCTCAGCGTCACCCACATGTTCTTTGGTGTGACAACATCGATGCTACGTACCTTTCTTCAAATCCGGTATTTCATGCCCGAACGAAACACATTGAAGTTGACTATCACTTTGTCAGAGAACGAGTTTCACAGAAGTTGCTTCAGATCAAGTTCATTCCATCGAAGGATCAACTTGCCGACATCTTCACGAAGCCATTGCCACTACCTCAGTTTGAGGGATGTCGTCGCAATCTTAATCTTCTGAATTCTTCAGATCACGGTTAAGATTGAGGGAGGGTGTTAGACTTGTAGACTTGTACGTATTGTAAACTCTGTACAATTGTATCTGTATCCGATGAGGTACCCCCCTTGTTATATATATATATGTTATTGTGGCCGAATCCTAGAGGTGTCGAAGCCCATAACCCTAAAACCCTTTGTCTATCACTTCCCCAAGAAGTCACCGCCCTCCTCCTTAAATACCGGGTCCCCCGGCACCTCCTATCCACATCGAGCCGCTGACGGCGCCGCCGCAAGCCCGCGCCGCTACCGCCGCTGCCGTTAGTCGCCGACGCCGTCGTCCCACAAGCCGACGTCGTCGCCCCGCAAGCCACCGCCGCCGCCGTCCGCTTGGTCGCCATTGACCGCCGCCGCCAGCGGTAGCCCCTGATCTCATCTCGACCATCGGATCTCGATCCGACGGGTTAGATCTCGTTTGTATTTCTCGTTTTCGTTATTTAGTGAACGTTCATCGCTTAAGATTCTGAAACGAACGGTTTTTGTTCTGTTAGGTTCTTTAGCAAACGTTTGTTTGATAGTTTTTTTAATTTTAGTTTTCTGCCAGGGACCTATTCGTAGTTTCATTTGCAGATTAGTCCGTGTGTTTCAAACTAGCACAACTTTTTGCTCGTATGTCAGAATTCGATGAAACCAACGCCAAAATCTTCAGAGCGATCCCATCTATTCAGTAAACCAACTTGAACATGTTTTTGAAACTTTAAAAATTGAGTTTAGTTCATATTTGAATTTAATCTTGTTTTGTTCGTATCTTGAGTTTCGTAGCTCCGTTTTAGTTGATTCTTTTTGCAAATCGTAGCTAATCACTTGTACCTTCTGTTAAGATCTAATCCACGTAAATATAATATTGTTAAAATTTGTTTTCTATTTAGATTAGTTATTTGCTTGTTTTTGAGTTTTCTGGATCTTTTCTTCGATTTCTTTTTGCATCTTTTGCTTGAGTGCTTATGTATGCTATTGTTTGTTTATGATAGATTTTCCAGAGTGCGAAGCTTATTACTACAAATTCCTAGAGTTTTCCGATCGTCAGCAAGGCAAGTTACACTTTGATCATACTCTTTAATACCCAGTTTTTACTATGCATTAGTTATACCCTCAAAGATTTGCATGAGTAGGATTGGGAGCATGTGGTTTGGTTGTAGTTCTTGAGGTAGGAACCTATTGCCTTGATCACCCCGAGAATACGTTATGCTCATATATTGCTTAGCATGCTCGTAGACGAGGATTGGTTTGTGAGATTCATGTAAGTTGCCAGAGGTAATAATTTTGGACAATATTAAGGTGGCAACTTTAATACACATTTGGGTGAATTGTTTGGGGCACCTGGAGAAACCAGCGCTTGCCCATGGAAATCCCGGAGTACCCGTGTGATTACCCTAGGTTCGCCACCCAAACTCAAAGGGATCATATGATATTTCATGCCTAGAAACTTCCGTGTGCAGCCACAAGCCATTATGGGCTCTGGCATAGTTGAGTAAGTTGTGTGACCTCTTTCAGTGGTAGACTAACAGATGTAGGGGAAAGTAGGTGTACCGGTCTACCCAGAGTAAAGAGTTAATGCTTCAGAAAGACTATGTCTCGATCTTCCGATCATGGATGCGGTCGAGTCTTCTGGGAAAAATGCGCAAACCTCTGCAGAGTGTATAAACTAATCATGGTTAGCCTTGTCCCCGAGTATGGACAGTTTAAGTATCTGGAAGTGAATATTATTTATTAATCTCCTCACTCTATAATTAATGTATTGGGTTTATTAATTATACTTGGTAACTTTGGGATTGAGTTGGAGGAACCTTCTCAATAATGGTATAAACTTGGTAGTAAATAAAATTTACTCCTTTGTTCTAGGGGAAAATTAGCTTTATGCAAAACTTAAACATAGAGCCTCCACCAGCCAAATATGCATGTAGATATAGTTTCTTTCATTCATTTGCTCTATAGTGTGACTCTGCCAGCATATTTCATGTGCTGACCTACATGACTGCAACGTGTTGCAGAGTTTTCCGACGAAGAATAAGATGCGCTAGGTCGTTGTCATGCACTCAATTATGCCGTGGAGTTGATGGACTCATTTATTTTCGAAGCTTCCGCAGTTATTTAGATGGCCTTCAGTCATATTATTTTTGTAATAAATACTCTTTATGAGGACCTCGATGTAATAAGTGTGTGATTGAACTCTGTTATAATTCCTTGAGTACTGTGTGTGTCAGCATACCAATTCAGGGATGACACTTAAGCACAGAGATTTCGATCCATTGGGATCGGGTCGCTACACTATGCTAGCCGATTGATCCACCAAACGCACATGAACAGATTGATTCTCGTTGAGACACACACAGTCCCAGCCATCCTTCTACAATAGCAAAATTATAGATCTACCATTGAATAAATAAATAAAAGGAAACAATGTAGGTACTCGTACTGCTATATTTGGTACTGGTCTCATCTATTTGGTACTTTTCTGTTGGCACCTTATGTTTTTTCACTGTTTGATTACTTTTGCTCGACGCTTCTTATTTTCCTCAACCACCATAAACCTTCAAACAGCAACAAAGTCAACGCGGGCTTTCTTGTTTGACAAAAAATGGTGGAGACAATCGGTGACGAGGGAGTTGGTTGACATGCACTGTATGTGGACGGCAGTGGCTGCATTTTTCGTGGCTCTGAAGATGCTTTGCAGAGTATATATAATGAGAGAACGAATGGGATTGAACTCTGCTGGCCAAGTCAGCTGCACTAAGTATGACTTCGAGTTGCGCAGGTCATGGATTACGTTAGCCCGGATTGGTCATTAGCTATGTTATAATTCTCCATTCAAGTATAATTTATTTATGTACTTATTCTTGGACTGAGCGGCGTGGCGAGGTAGTTGTAGATGCATCGTTGAGCTTCAGAGTTCCCGGCCAAGCTGTTTTTTTAGCAAAGTCAGAAGAAATCTTAAATAGTCAAAGGATGGATAGATAAGCTGCATCCAGGGGAGAATAAGTTCGGAGGAGGACAGAAGAATACAAAGGACGGCAGATAAGACAAATAAGAATCACTGGCTGCTCATTTTTATTGCTTGCAACTTATAAAGTCTTCAACTTCTTTTGCTATGACTATGATAGTATGAGGTGAGCTCAGGAGAACTAATAATGCAATTGTAAAAGAAGATAAACATCCACAGGGCAAGAAAAAAGTTCAGACGACAAAAAATATCCCAAGGACGGCGCTCGTTTCAATTGCTTAATTTGAACACTATTGACTAGAGCAAAACTATGAAATTGGGTAACCAGCTGCATACATACATAATTAGGCATATATAGAATACCGCCTTCCTCTAAAACTCTGGACGAAAGGGAGCACCGGAGCAGCAGCTATGAAGGATGGGTTTATCAATCTAAAGTCCAATCTAGTGAAGGATGGGATTGATAAATCTAATGAACTCAGCCTACTTATTTGTTGCTATGAGTATGATGTAGTGCAATCAATATAAGAACTTCATTTGAGGGGAGGTAGTAACTAGCTAGTGCAGTACAAAGAAGGCAAATATATATACTTCTCTAGAAAAGGCAATTATACTAAACACCAGTCGCTCTCACTGCGCGCATGGGTGCTGCAGTCAGTCAGATTTCACTCGGAGCTGCAAACTTATCTAGTAGTATCATCTATCATCCCAAATTATTAGGAGTGCTTGATCTAAAATGTATCCAAGTCAACTCCTCACAACTGCTCTATCGATCTCAACCAACGAGCAGTAGCTTGTCAACTCCTACGAAGTCGCACCACGCGTTAATCTGTCATCACAGAGCACCCAAAGTCCAAGCGAACAGATAATGATTGAGAGACTTTCACAAAAGATGCATAGACAATGCTACAAGTAGCATAATTTTTTGAAAGGTCCACAAGTACTATAGTAGCTAGTATAACACTTGTATGATTAATTAGTAGTCGTATCATTCTCCGAGCTAACGAACTAGCTCGTACTACTACATAATGGATGCGGCCAGCCTATAGTATAAATACGTTACGTCGTCGTCTAGTAGTAGCACACAACGCGAAGAGCTCCATCTCAGTCCATCGATCCGACAATGAAGAGGCTGAGGTTTGGCGAGGAGGCGGAGGTGGACGGCGCCGCCATAGCCCATGAGGTGATGATGCTGCTCGCCGCGCGGAGCGCCGCGATGGGGGGCGGCGAGCCGGTGGCGGTGGCGCGGCCGCGCGCGTTCGAGTGCAAGACGTGCAACCGCCAGTTCCCGTCGTTCCAGGCGCTCGGCGGCCACCGCGCCAGCCACAAGCGGCCGCGGGGCGACCCGATCAGCGAGCAGGCGCCGGCGCCGGCGCCGGTGCCCGCGAGGAGGCACGGGTGCACGGTGTGCGGCGTGGAGTTCGCGCTCGGGCAGGCGCTGGGCGGGCACATGAGGCGCCACCGCGCCCACGAGCAGGAGGGGAGCACTCACGGGCCGGTAGTCGCCGAGCGGGAGCCCGGCGAGACAAGAAGGGGGCTGCTGCTGGGCTTGGACCTGAACGCTACTCCCGCTGAGCAGGCCATGGACCTCTCTCTCTGGGCCTGACCGAACCGAGGACCGGTGGGCTGCTGTTCCTTCTGCAATAGCTCCCCTCCTACTACTCTTCTCTAACCTAGGGGGGTGTGGAGTTTCTTTCTTGTACAATATTGGTTGCTGTCAATTGATTGATTTGGATTTTTCCACCCCAAAAAAGGATGGGCTGTTTATATCCATCAAACTTTCTGATCCGTTCCTAAATATTTGTCTTTCTAGAGATTTCAACAAATGACTACATACAGAACAAAATGAGTGAATCTACATTCTAAAACATGTATATATACATCCGTATGTAGTAGATCATTTGAAATCTCTAAAAACACAAATATTAGGAACCGAGGGAGTAGATCCGAACGACCCTCCATGCGGAAGATTTTCTTAGCAGTTGCATGCATGCGTTAGTTCTTTGAAAAAAGCTGCATGCCAGACACATTCAACGCATTCCCTCTCATTCCCTCTCCTAGTTGTTCCATCCGTGCATATAAGACGAAAATGCTGATGTTACTGAGATTCCACCAAATTCAAAGATTCAAAATGTTTTATAGTTCTAATCTATAGCTCTAACCGTCGCTCTGATTGAAAATTGTTTTCACATAAAAGATTCGTCGTGACGAAATCTTAAAAACTAGATTCCATGTTGGTATGTTTCGATGACATTTTTTTTCAGGCAAAAAGTTACCACGTCTAGGCTAACTAAGTTATCACATCTGCACTGTGTATATTATCATGTTGTTTGCATAGAAGTTATCAGGACATAAAAATGATTCCTCCAACCTTCTTTTCATATGCAAATGCATGCACTAGTGTACAGAATGGGAGCACCTGATTATTTATGGTCTCATTCATGTGACATCATCACATACGTCGGCTAGACTTTTTCTTCTGCTCACGATTTGCATGTATCGTGTTTCTTTTTGGGTTTGGCCTTTTGTTTCTCCTGTCGCTCGTACCAGAGCAAATGTACGAGTCCATACGACAAGCATGTATGTACGTCTTTTTTTTTGTTTTTGAACTTTTTTTAGGATAAATGCCGCCGCTTTATTGAATTAAAAGAAGTTCGGAATCTCGTCGGCGATCACATCTAGAATGCAATGTATGTATGTCTTAGGCCCAGTTCTTTTACCAGATTCTCCCAAAATCCGATCCCTACCCAGATTCTTCCAGAATCTTTGAGCCCTATTTATTTTACAATCCTATCTAGTTAAGATCTAATTAGGTAGAATTATAAAACAAAAGGAGGTCAAAGATTCTAGGAGAAGTTAGAGAGGGGCAGATTCTGGGAGAATCCTGTAAAAGAACTGGGCCTAGTGTGCCTACCTCTACAACTTGTTTATATTTGCCGAACCCAATATTCGAGTGTTTTCTTCGTTGTCTAAAAAAATGAGTGTTTTATTTGGTGTATTTGTTTTTCTTCCAGTTTTCTGCAGTAGTAGCCAGCATGATGCCTCTGCCGCGCAGGATCAATTCCGTCCTACACATTAATTATTCATTTAGTTTTAAAATATCTAAAAATTATTTTAGAAATGATAACCAACAAAAAAATATTTATAATGCAGAAAATGAAATCGTTCTAAAAAAGCTTACCGCGTAGTTGAAATAAACATTGTCACTTATTTCAAAACAATGTTTCATCACACATTTGAAAAAATGTTCGCCGCATATTCAAAATTGTTAACCGCGTATATAAAAATGCTCACCGCCTTTTCCGCAAAAATTATATTCGCCGCATGTTAAAGAAAGGCTCATCTCATATCTAAGAAAAATGTTCATCATGTTTACAAACCTTGCAATTGCATGTGTAGTGTTGGAGATGCAATTAGCCGATAGGTTTCCCATTGTCGCCCCTAGTTAAGATCACTTTATGGTCGTGTGCTTTTGCGGTTGAGTTACAACGCTTGCAGTTGCATTCTGGTGGTTGACATGCAACCGACCGACAATCCCTTATCACCCTCAATTGCAATCGCTTTGAAGCTCGTGTAGTTATAGTCGACTTACAACACTTGCAATTGCATACGCAGTGTTAGACATGCAACTGGCAGACCAAATCCATTCATGCCACCTAGGTGCAATCACTTTGTGGGTCGCCTAGTTGCGGTTGAGTTATAATACTTGCAGTTTCATGTTTGGTGGTGGACATGCAACTGGTCGACAACCCCCTCCAGCCATAGTTGCGGTTGCTTTGTCGGTCGTGCTATTGCGGTCGGCTTAAAATACTTGTAGTTGCATGTCTGGTGTTGGATATGCAACTAGGCGACCAAACCCCTTCTTGACCCAGTTGTAGCCGCTTTCTGTGTCCGTGCACTTGCAATCGGGTTACAACACTTGTAGTTTCATGTCTGTTAGTGGATATGCAACTGGCCAACAACCCCTTTCCTCAATCTCTTTGAGGGTTGCATAGTTGCAGTCGAGTTAAACACTTGCAGTTGCATATCATGTTACTACACTTGCAGTTGCAAGTTGGGTTACAACATTTGCAGTTGCGTGCCGGGTTACAACACTTGCAGTTGCACGCCGGGTTACAACACTTGCAGTTGTAGGTCGGGTTACAACACTTGTGTTGCGTGTTGGGTTACAACACTTGCAGTTGCAGGTCAGGTTACAACACTTGCAGTTGTAGGCCAGGTTACAACACTTGAAGTTGCGCGTCGGGTTGCAACACTTGCAGTTGCGCGTCAGGTTACAACACTTTCATCTGCCAGTCATATTACAACACTTGCAATTGGGTGTCTAGTGATGGATATGCAACTGACTCAACAACTCTCTCAAGTCTCAATGGCGGTCGTATTGGGGTCCATGCAAGTTGCGACCAGTTTACAACACCTGTAGTTGCGTATGTAGTGGTGGACATGCAATTGGCCCAGCAAACCCCTCGCACCCTCAATTGATGTCACATAGTGGCCCATGCAGTTTCAGTCGAGTTACACCGCTTGCACTAGCGTGTGTCTAATGGTAGACATTGAACTGTCCAAAAACTTGCCTTGAAAACTTATAGTTCTGACATCAACTTGAAAACTTGTCATTACAATCCCGTTTTGTGAATGTGTAGTTACAACTCTCATTTGCAACTACTCACTCCATTTCTAAATATATGACGTTTTGTTGGGCTACCAAAACGTCGTATATTTAGGAACAGAGCCAACAGTATGGTATGTTGTTGGTTAAGATAAACTAAAATCATCTAAGTATCAATTACATATTCTTGTCAGCTTAAAATACAGAAATGGAAATCGTCGATAATAAAAAATCTAGAAAAGAAAAAGAGAAAAAAATGTTAAATGAATAAAAGAGAAACAAAGAAGAAAAAAGAGTGAACAACCGTTGTAACGAGTGAGCGAACTACAACTCGACCACAGCTCGGCCAGTAGAAAAGAAAAAAAGACAAGACAAAAGCGGCCCATTACCAGATGTAACCTATACAGCTGATGGCCCACAAGTATATGGGGTCAATTGTAGCCTTTTCAATAAGTAAGAGTGTCGAACCCAAAGAGGAGCAGAAGGAAATGACAAGTGGTTTTCAGCAAGGTAATGCGTGCAAGTGCTAAAATTGTAAGTAATAGAGTAGTTTGATAGCAAGATAATTTGTAACGAGCAAGTAACGGTAGTAGTAACAAAAGTACAGCAAGGTAGCCCAATCCTTTTGAGGCAAAGGACATGCCAAAACGGTCTCTTATGATAAGCAAAGTGTTCTTGAGGGTACACGGCAATTTCATCTAGTCACTTTCACCATGTTGGATCGATTCGTGTTCGCTACTTTGATAATTTGGTATGTGGGTGGACCAGTGCTTAGGTGCTATTATTACTTGAACAAACCTCCTACTTATGATTAACCCCCTCGCAAGCATCCGCAACTACGAGAAAAGTATTAAGAATAAATTCTAACCATAGCATTAAACTTTTCGATCCAATCGGTCCCTTACAGAATAGTGCATAAACCAGGGTTTAAGCTTCTATCACTCTCGCAACCCATCATCTAATAACTACTCCACAATGCATTCCCTTAGGCCCAAATATGGTGAAGTGTCATGTAGTCGACATTCACATGACACCACTAAGGGAATCACAACATACATATCATAGGGTTTGAGAGGATGAATTCTTGAACAGGGACAAAGATTGAACACAAGATATGAACTAGGGTTTGAGAGGAGTTGGTGTTGTTGAAGATGTTGATGGAGATAGCCCTCCCCAAGATGGGAGAGTTGTTAGTGATGATGATGACGATGATTTCCCCCTCCGGGAGGAAAGTTCCCCAGGAGGAATTGCTTTGCCGGAGGGCAAAAGAGCTCCTGCCCAGGTTCCGCCTCGAGACGGCGGCGCTTTGTCCCGAAAGTCCCCTCCCCTTATTTTTTTTCTAGGTCAAAATGACTTATATAGCAGGAGGGGCATCAGAGGTGGGCCTGGGTGAGCACAACCCACCAGGGCGCGCCTGGGCTCCCCGGCGCACCCAGATGGGTTGTGCCCACCTGGTGGGGCCCCTCTAGTACTTATTGACTCCAAAAATTCTTATTTATTCCATAAAAAATCCTCATGAAGTTTCAGCTCATTTGGAGTTGTGCAGAATAGGTAGCCTGACGTAGCCTTTTCTGGTCCAGATTTCCAGCTGCCAGAATTCTCCCCTTTTATGTGTACTTGCATATTATGAGAGAAAAGGTATGAATCACTCCAAAAAGCATTATTATGCAATAAAACAACATAAATAACAGTAGGTAAACATGATGCAAAATGGACGTATCAACTCCCCCAAGCTTAGACCTCGCTTGTCCTCAAGTGAAAACCGAAATTGAAAAACATGTCCACATGCTTAGAGAGAGAGGTGTCGATAAAAACAAAGATACGTACATAGCAACATCATGTAACTTATTATAACAGCAACAAACTTTAACATAAAACTTTTATCATAGAACTTTTATCATAGACTTCTCATGAACAAGTAACAATCCATCACAACATCGAAGTATAAAGCATAAACTCCATTGGAAACCAATAAACTATGTTCTCATTCAACCTTG